GTTATGTGCCGTCGAGTCGGCCCCAACTCATAGCGACCCCTCCTTGGGTTTCCGAGGCAGTATCACTACGGAAGTAGGATTGCCCAACCGTCCTTCCGAGGAGTGGCTGGTGGGTTTGAACCGCCAGCCTTCTGGTTAGCAGTCAAGTGCCTTAGGCACTATGCTACCAGAGCTCCCCCCATTGTATATAGACTCCTCTTTTTTTTTTTTTTACAATAATTACCAACATGCAGATAAGGGGACTGTATCCATATCCCAGATGAATTGTCCCATATACTTGGATGTTAAGTGAAGACTTTTGTGGATCAAATGTACATTTAGCAGTCAATTTTCCTCCCAAAGTCCTTGACTTTTTCTTAAAATAAAATATTTGAGAATAGCTATATTTAAATGCTTGTAGACTATGTATTTAACAAATTTCTTGGTTGTTTTTGAGGGCTCTAGTTGTTGGAATTTTCTCCTTGCCTAGTTATGATAACATTACTATAAAATTGTTGTTGTTGTTGTTATGTGCCGTCCAGTCGGCCCCAACTCCTAGCGACCCCTCCTTGGGTGTCCGAGGCAGTATTACTACGGAAGTAGGATTGCCCAACCTTCCTTCCGGGGAGTGGCTGGTGGGTTTGAACCACCAGCCTTCTGGTTAGCAGTCAAGTGCTTTAGCCACTATGCTACCAGAGCTCCTATAAAATTATAATATGTCAATTAGCTACAGAAGTGGAGAGTCAAATCCTGGAGGGTACTACTTGGAATTATAGTTGTGGTTCACTGAGCACTGTTTCTCAGAATTTTTCTCAACTGTGAGCTGAAAGGAGTTTTGTCACTTGCTGTGTTTAATAGCACAAATAAGTAAATAAGTCCATGTTTGGGATAAATAAAAAAATAAAATAAGCTGATACATTAGCCTTACAAATATCAATTTGTAACATTTTAATTTTTTATGCAATATTTTAATATAGCAAAAGGAAAAGTAGTACTTAACTTTGACACTGTTTTGAACTATTACAAAGATAAATGCGCTATGTGATGTTTTTAAGTTTTCAAATGACTTTGTAAGTGAAATAATTTCAGATGTGCTTGGTGTTTAAATGAGATCTGAGAAAAATCTGTTCATTGTAATAATGTGATACTCTTAAATGTGTGGATTTTAAATGTAAGTGGATTTTATAGGCAAATGAGGAACTAACTATACTTTAATTGTACTTGAGTAAGCCAACAGTGTGTACAAAAATGAATAGACATGGAGATTAGTTCTAGATCTGGGACTGGTACTAGCTATGAAGTTTTAGGTAAGCCACTTAATCATGCTCTTTTTATCACAAAAGATTGCTTTGAGGTATTGCAGATGTAAAAGTACTTTGAAAAATGTTTAAAATCTTATAGATAAGAGTTTTTAATTTTTATTTTCAGGAAATGCTTATCTTCAGTTCTCAGTTTACACATCTGTATCTGCTCAAACCAAACTCACTGCTGTGGAGTCAATTGCTACTCATAGTGACCCCTCCTTGGGTTTCTGAGACAGTATCTCTAGGAGCTCTGGTAGCATAGTGCGTAAGGCACTTGACTGCTAACCAGAAAGCTGGCGCTT